ATGCACTGGCCAACCCCCCACTGCCGCCTCCCCCGCAACCACAGCCACATAACCCCCATCCTCTCCCTCCACCCCAGCAACACCCTGTAAACAACCCCCACCCTCATCCACAGTCCCACCCGCAGCCCAGTCGCACCTCACCGAGGACTGCCCGCCATGCGCCCCCGCCCACCACTGCCCTGACTGGGCCTGTACAGGGCCAGATGCAGTCTGCTTCCCAGCGCCGCCTACCCAATGGCTACCGCTCTTCATCACCTTCCACACATCTCCATGGACCCTCACATACTGGACCTCACAAGGTCCCCCCTCCAGCTGGGCATCCTCGGGGTCCCCGCAAGGGCCTGCATGAACCCTACAGCGAGACGGAGGACGACGACTGGTGCTAGCCTCTGGGGATGGGGGAGGGGCGTAAAGGAGGAAAAAGAATTGATACATGGACCGAAAGATGAAGATAGGAAGCTCTGAGCCAGAGCACTGACTGCCAAGGGAAACCGTGATTCTTTCGTTCTCGTCTGTTCAATTTTTTCCTCTCCTCCACTGCTTGGCATGTCCCAGGGAAGGTGGGCAAGATGAGGGGGACAGGTGTCAGGATGAAGGGATGGAACAAGAATGCTGAGGCAGGATCTGGAGAAACAAGTGGTGGCGGTAACAAACCACCTCCACGTTCTGCTTGCATTGTTGTTGCATTCATCTCTTGATGCCAGATAAGACCAACCTCAAACTGCAGTTTTTAAGGATGCAAGCAGGAGGGGTGACGGACACTAGTCTTTGCGTGTCTTAAATTATGCCTCTGGCAATGAGCTACAGCCACTTACAAGATGTCAAGAGTTGCGACTCGACAAAAGACACTTTACAGTCAGAGACAAAAGAACGACCACTGTTTTTCTTGTTTTTTTTTTTGCTTCTCAGCGCTAACTTCAGTTAAGTTAGCGGCAAAAAGAATCAAATCCAACCCTCCCAGCCACCAGTCGAATATTGATGAGTTTTATCATCTGTGTTTTTAAATAAGAACAAAACTGACAGTGAGCCCTCCACCTGTATGAGGTGAGATGGCTAAGTGGGTGGGAGAGTTGGGGAGTGTTGCATGGGGTTGACAAGTCCCTCGGTCAAAATCTAGGACGGGACGGGTGTGTTGGGGATGTTTACCCCTGTCCCTGGAAAACACCCTCCTCCCAGAAACAAACAATTTAACCAACCTCAACCTATGACCTATGAGAGAAGAAAAACAAAAAAGTGGAGATGGGTTTCAGAAAGAAAAAAACAAACAAACCAGTAACTGTTTTCTGCAGTATTTCTTCTTCTATTCCTGCTTCTTCTTCCTCCTTCTCTTCTACTTCTTCAAAACATTGAAGCTTGAATCTTCTGTTGCACCCCACACAGCTTCGTTTTTCAGACTTGCGGAGTTGTACACCCTGTGGAATCCTGCATGAATGATACAAAAAATAATAATAATAGCAACAATGAGAATCTACTGTATGCGGGGGGAAACTTTACTTGGTCATTTCTGTTGTGGTCTTTGGGGTTTCTCTCTTTTTAGTAAGAATGCCTTTCTGTTTCTCTTTCTCTCTCTCCTCTGTATGACATTCCTCTCTCTGTACCTTCGTTGGCACTAAAATCAAGTGACAGAAGGCTATAGGGAGATTGGACAGTTACTGTATCTATATCTAGAAGGAACAAAATGATTACTTTTTGCTTGCTTGTATGTTCTGTGCCAGATGCCTGCCACTGATACAGCTGGAATTGCACATATTTTTGTGGAAGTAACTTTTTGTAACTATGGTGATAATCCTAAAAATGATGGGAAGCAGGGTAAAGCTGGATGAAACATGGTGGTGTCCCTATTGGTGAATGAGTCCGACAAATCAGTAACATCTCAAAGTCTTCCAGGGTTTGGGGTTAAAACAGAGACACCGGAGAGAAAGAGATGAATAGAAAGTTGGAAAAAGGAGAGAAACTCTTCATCCTTGTTTTCTTTGTTATAGACCATAATAATGGATACCCAGATGACTATAATAATAACTAATAATGATCACGACGATCTTGATAATGAGACAGATTCTCCACTTTTGGTCCTATATTCTGTTCTGTATGTTCGTTTTATTTTGAGCTCAGCTTATCATTTTTCCAACCCTGAGGTGGAGCTCTAACCCACAGATTGCATTGTGGGAGTATGAGTCTGCAGGAGGGCAAACATGAGTCAGAGATTTCCCCCCAAAAAAGCAGCCAATAAATCTGCCTTTCTTCTAGACATTGGGTGAATTTGATTGAAATTTGACTGATCAGAAGCAGTTCTCCACAGGTTTCTTCGTTGAAATGGATGAGTCTATTCTCCTGCAGACGCTAAAACAGAGTTCCACCACCACTTGTGACCTTCCGGTGGCGCTGTATGACAAAACAGTGCCCCCTCTAGTTTTTGTACCTCTCCCTTTACTCCACTTCTAATTCAGAGTTGTTACATGGTACCAGTGCACCAAGAATACAAGTTTAGCTCATTCTCTCACTTGTAGACCACCTCGTCTGTGTTCACCACGTGTAAATACAGGCGACGGTCACACAGTTCACACGGGTTGGAGAAAAGATGCGTGGGCCTTTGTCGTGGTCCTGGAAAACATCCATGTTCTGTGTGTATCACTCCTATATATCTTTAATTTCTTTCTGCGTGTTTTCTCTGTGTGCCTCAAACTAACACTCGTCACTAACGCACACCACTGTCAGCCCCAACATTAGTGTGATTATGTTACTTATTTATTTGACCTGCGTTTTTAACCTGGAGGCCTATCACATGTTGACCAGAGAATGCACCGAAAAAATAGAAAAGAAAAAAAACTGCCTATTAGTGTCTTTCCAACCTCAGTGGAATGTCACAGACAAGTATTTTTTCACATCACTACACTTAAAATCAGAAAGCACACTAGGTATGTAGCTCCTGGTTGTGGTGTGTGCGTGTGTGTGTAGGTGGGTATTTGCGTGTGTGTGTACATGGATGAGTGTGTTTGGATAAATTTTTAGCGATTTTGTTTTGTTCGTGCTTGCTTTGCTTTTTATTCTTTGTCTCCAGAAAATCATTTTTAAATCTTAAAATGTTTTGGTCAGATCATTGTAAACAATCTTCGACTATGTGTGCATGTGCGTGAGTGAGTGTGTGTGTGTGTGTGTGCGATATCAGTAACCCCTGAATGAAACATGCAAAGCCCCAAACATTCACCATCCATCTTTGTGTCTATGCTGCAGTGAAATCCACTAACACGCTGATTAACCACACAAATTCTTCAAAAAGCAATGTAAAGCCGCTACTGAGAAAAGAAAAAAAGTTTTTTTAAGTACAAAAGATTAAAAAAAAAAGGAAAAAATATCTAGTTCCAGAAATGCATGTGCTATGTGCATGCCACACCGTGGGTTAACAGTCATCTTCAGGACATAAAAGAAAAAGCAGATTAATGAATTCAGAGGAATAAAAAAAAAGATATATAAATAGATAGATGTTTTTAAAAAGCAACGTTTCCTTTTTTCCTTCTATTTTTGAGAACAAAAAAGGTTAAAAACTTCCAAAAAAAAAAACGTCTAAAGAATAAAAACACAAAAGAGACTTTGGTGAGAGTTGGTCTCGTTTGTTTTCTTCTTGTTACATGGGGTTGAGGCACAACACAACCATGTTCAGGACACCACAAAAAAGAACTGTTTTTAATGAAAAAAAAAGATGTATACAAAGAAAAGAAAGTACAGTTCAGAAGACGGTGTATTCTCCCTTCTACTTTTTGTGGGGGTCAGGGGGTGCAGGAGCTAGCCAAATCTGATGATGTACTCATTATGACTGGCTGTGAAACCTTTTGATCTCTCACTCACTCCCTCTTTTTCTCTCTCTCTCTCTAACTCTGTCTCTCTCACACTCTTTATCTGTCGCACTCTCAACCTGTCTCACCGCTATTTCTACCAGTGCATTTTGTAATTCCAAACAGAACTCTTCCTAAAGAATAAAATCCAGAGAGAATGCACACCGCTTTGCCTCATTTCTTGTCCACGTTCTTGTCTTTTTTTTACCTGTATGTGTGTCGTGGCGTGTGTGTGGCTCGTGTTTTGGCTCAAAGGGGCCCTGTGGAGTTCTCTTTCTGTAAAGTTCTGTTTACATTCAGCGCAATGTGTTAATCATTGAGTCCTAAGAAACGGGCTGAATTAATTTCCTTCCTCATGAAACATTTGCAAAGTCAATTTAAAAAAACTAAAACATTTTGAAACGTGCATTGTTCCCACCCACGTTTACTAGCATGCAGTCTTCTTCTCGGCCTTTGCTGGCACTTTGCTGCGTCTCATGATGAATTAGCGATCAGTGGAATAGTGCGGAAGCATTGGCAGGAATGTGCATCGCTGAGGCCCCACTCACAAAAAACCCCTGCTCCATTGCACTGCTGTAGTTCAAAAACTTTATAAAGCTGTATTGATTAGTTTTTTTGGCCACTGTGGGACGGTTGTAAACCAAAACATTGCACGTGTTGCATGTGTTAACAGTTGATTGTGCATCCAGTAGACACAGAGTAGCTTTATCATTCACCTGGAATCATGTTTCCGTCCACCTGGAGAATGTAAATCCAGTATTAACTCCCTTTTAGCTGCCTGCTGTGGCTGCAAACAGTGTCGATGAGAGCGGTGACACTGAACTGAACGGTGCATCCGAGAGCTGTAAAACCAAAACAATGAGCTGTAAGATGCTAAAACCCGCTGTAGACCTGAGAGGAACTGCAGTCGGGTGATAATTCTCTGTGAGTTGTGCGACACCGTGTATTTCATCCATTGATAGTATAAAAATATGCATCAGTGAAGCTTTAAAGGTCCAGTGTGTAGGGTTCAGTGGCATCTAGCAGTGGAAGTACATATTGCAACTAACTAACGCTGCTTGTGCATTCACCATGGCACTTCAACTGTATCTGTAGATAAACCTCACCCTGAGATAACGAAAACACGAATCCTATATTAGGTAATTATACACTAATGAAAACATACCTATGAATATTATGTTCCATTTCTGCCAATACATCCTCCTGAATGAACCTTTAAGGTAACAAACCTAAAGGGCTGATGAGGGAACAGGGATCTAAACTGCACTTAGTGAATCCAGCTCATATCCATTACAATGTGTTTGCTCTGTTTCCTTAAACCCTAGCAGGTTTGAAAAACACCAAATATCCATTTGAAAGGGAGACCCACCTAATGCTTAGTCATGCAGAGAACATGGATGTGTCAGCATATTCGTTCACAATGAGTATGTGGGGGTGAGAGAGACCAAAGGGGGAAGAGAGCAAAGAAAGAGTTTGAGTGATCGGAATAGACGCGCGGGAGAAGGCGAACGAGTGTGTGTGTGTTTGTATAATGTGTATGACGTGTGTATTTTCACAGGCATGTCCAGACGGTTCCGGCCACCCCTCCCAGCCCCTGTGTACACAGACAGGGTGCTCTGGTTTCAGCCGGAAGAATAAGCAGCACAGTTGGGGCCTCACGGGGGCTCACACAGGCACTTCCCCCCACATTCCTTCTTCTGTGTTTTCCTGGGTTAACCCCCTCCCCCCCTCCAAGACACCGGTGAATCCCCAAACATTGCATTACAAAACTTACAGCCTACTTCAGTATTTAAGTACATAAAAACTCTATTTTAGTTTATCAAATATAGACATTTGAAAAACTTTACTTACTAATCAATTAATGTGAATGCTGTGAGTTTTTTGGGGGTGGGGGGGAACCTCTTGTGCTACAGGTGCAGAATGACTGTGCCACTTAAACGCACTGTTGTTTAAGATTCAACTTTACTCCAATTAAAATGAGCAATACAGTCCTCTTTAAACCCCAGAACACCCTTATCTACCACACTCAGTGTGTTTGTAAAGGAATGATTATTACCCACACTTAAAAATGTTAACTTAACCTTTTGCACCCTGATTGCTGGACCCGAATGACCAATATCACTACAGCATTCAGACCACAGTAAAACACTTACTGAGGAGCCAGTGTGGACCCTTTATTGTTCTCAGTGTATGGTCGGTCTATGGCTTTACAGCCTCCCCCCCTCCATTCACCCTCACTCTTTGGACCATGGTCTCCTGAATTGTCCCTGCTTTTGTCCTGCAAATCAGTGTGTATTTTGTGTGTGGGGGTGTGAAGTTGTGGGGGAAGGAAGCAAACTCCTTCACACCCAACCAGCTTCCTGTCACACTCAAAACACACCCACATACCACTTTCATACTAATTTTCTTGCGCAAATCCCACACTAAAATACCAGCCATATGTATATACACACACACACACACCTCACTACACATGTAGCACTTGATGCTATCTCTCTTGCATATTTAGTTCCTGTCATAAACAACACATCACACCGAATTAAGTACAAAACATGTTTAATAAATACTGAGGTAGTTGTAGACATTGGATATTTTACATTACATCAACATATCTGCACACTCTTCAGTCAGGACTGTGGTCCTCCATAAGTCTCAACAGTCACAACATATGTTATATTTGCTGAGCAGATCCTGCTCCCTGAACAGGCACACTTGTGTAAATGTTGAACCAGTTCGTGTAGTTCCGCTTTTTGGCCGGAGTCAGTCCCCGTAGAGGTCTCAGGCCCCAACAACTAGGCCAAAAGTCACCCGCCGGGCTGTGTGTCTCTGTGTCTCTCTGTAACAAGCACAGGCTTGTTCAGAGTCATACGTGGGGACCCGAACTATCCCCGGGCCTTCGTCCCAAACGACCCCCCCCCCCCCCCCCCCGGGGACAAACGAGGCCCACTTGTGTGGCGCGTTCAGGCTCCCAGACCGTGTCGAAAAAAGTTCATAGCCTTTAATCTTCACCGGCTTTCAACACGCTGCAATGGCCCTCTGTAGAGGCAGGGGGGGTGGGGGTGCTCCCAGTTCACTGCCACAGTTCACGTAGTCCAGCAGAACCGAGTTCACTATGAGCTGCGGGCCGCAGTTCGCCTGCTCAAGTTTTGCCTTCTTGCAGGGGAGAAAGTCTGGCTCGACGGCCGCCTTGCCCCGTCTTTTCCTCGAGTGTTGCGCCGGCCCGCTCGGACACATATTCTCCTTGTTGTCGAGCTCCGTGGGGGGACCTCCGACCTCCTCTCGGGGTAAAGTCCGAGGCTGTCCGGCGGTAGGTGAAGCGGGACCCTGGAGCTCCACATGAGGCTCTGTGGTAACTTCCGCCGCGGCGTGTTGTTGTAGTTCATATCCCGGTGCGACGCTTTCCGCCGTCGCCTGGGCCTCATGGTACAGGTCCCGGGCGGATTTCATCACCAGAGTCAAAAGGAGGCTCCGGTGGAGACGGAGACCCCCTCGCTGGGTGCGGGAGCTGTACAGTTTCCCCAAAGCCACGACCATGATCCTCTTGGCCTCAGCGCTGACCTCCATGTCACTACTTGTGTTTGAAAACGAGTCCAAGACAAACAAACCAGCAGAGGTGAAGGTGAGTGGATTCAGTGTCTCCCCGCTGACTTCCCACAGACACACTACGGGACGGCTCGGCTGCAGGACCACTACTTATCACCTCGTTGACGTCACTCACTCAGCGTCATACGACCGAGCCCCGCCCACCGGCCTCGCACCAAACAGCCCTGCAGCAACTGGTTCGCCGACTGTGGCTATTTTAATCTACCTGTGTGTGTGTGTGTGTGTGTGTGTGTGTGTGTGTGTCTCTATCAAGATG